AGTTCGCGATTCGGTAAAAGCGGGACTTTCACATCCTTGAGCTACCGGATGTACGAGAGTCACAGTGGTATTATCGTCCTTGCAGTTTAGATGGATTATCGTAGGAGCGCCTGTGGAGAGAATGACAGACAGAGTTAGAGAAACAGAGAGTGAGACAGAGATAGTGTTTAGCTGTGCGTCTATTTCCCGTTGTTCCTTGTTTCTCTGCATTGAATGCCGCAGTCAAATAATTAAGGTATCTTTCGGTAGAGAGGAGTTCGGCGGTTAGCGGTGGTAGTGTAGTTGCACTGGTGGTGGTAGTGGTGTGTACGCATACGTTTTTAAGGTTATTGCTCGAACCTTTGTGGGCGGCCAATTGCAGAAACGACCGTTTCGTGTTTGATGCTGTTTAGTTATGAATCGCAATTTCTCTGTACGTATACCGTGCTTTCTTAGACTCAACGACTTTCCTTTGCGTCGCGCCGCGTTCTTGGACAGTCGGCGTTAATACGCAGTGGTTAAGTCTTAAAGCGAATTAGAGGCAAATTTTTAATTGTAATCGCTTTTCATACGTAACGAAACTTTTCTCTTGCGGAAAATGAAGTGAACAGCGCTCCATGATTATTCTTTCAGGATCTTCAATATTTTGATGATCGATCCAGGCTTATCGATTTGTTTAGAGATTAATAGGATTGCAAAAGGTCCAAAAATAATTGAAATACAAGCAAATGTTTAGAAAGAAAGGGTGGGGGGATTCGTTTATTTATCCGTAAGAAAATGGTAATAGAGGAGCAGCTCCTCGGCTCTAGGGTCCATTCTCCATCCTTCAATTTGCTTCTTCAACATCAGCGCCCTTTTTTTATTCTGCAGTGTCAGTGGGCGATAAACTTTAATCTAAATCCCCCGAACAAAAGTTCCACGATCGTTATCAAAATTTTATTTCTCCGCACGTACATGAGAAAACATCTCTTCTGGACGTCTTTTCACCTCTGCACCGCTTATTATTACATAAAACAGAATCTAAAATCTTGTCATCCGTCTGCATTCTATTATTAATTATGGCGTGGGCTATCGCTTTTAACGGGGCGGGGAGGTGGGATGTGGGGTGGGGAGAGGTAATGGCGATAGTTAATGCTAAGTAATAAATAATAAATAATGATAAGTAATAAACATAAGTTACTGCGTGATATGCCATTCGTAAGAATGTAGAAATTCATGGAGCCGGTGCAAACACATAATGCATCGCATCTGGACTCTTCCCCCCGGCGTCTCATTAATTAAGAATAAGGCAAAGGGATTCGTTTAGGAGAGCGAGAGCACCGAGCCCATCGTCCATACCGGGTCTTATCGGTGCGAAGTGGCGCGTTTCCGCCGCCAGTGCTCCAGAATATAATCAGCAAGGAAAGAGAAGTTCAATGTCACGAGCCGAGAACCCTGGCCGCTGTCTGGCGCTTGCTCTCGCGCCCTTGAAGGCGACGCTTGGGCGGTCGGGCGCGCGTCCCTTGGCCGAGGTGTCCTAGGATGGGCGCCGCCAACGCCACCGATAAGTGCGTTGCGACGCGCGCGCATGAGGTTCGATCGGCGTCTACGCCCTGCCGCATGCGCATGAATGTCCGGAGTGGTGGCGCGCGCTGCTGCAGACTACTGACCTTCAAGGTCGACCCGCCGGCAGCACGTGCGGAGAAAATGAGCGGACGCGCCCAGGGGGAAGCTCACGTTACACGTTTTCCCGTTTTCCCATCGGTTTTCGTGATGAGGACGACGCTCGCCGGCTATTATTCATGCGCCTCTTTTTGCTTTTGGTTTTCTTTTGTTTCATTTTTCATGTTGCTTTTGCTAGTTTTTGTTTTTGCTATTTTGTTTCATTTTCTGTAGAAAATGACGCTGCCACCAATAGAGCGATTGGCCGCGACTAATAATAATTAAATGAAGCATGGACAGCGTTAAATGTTGGTCGTTATGAATCGTTGTTTATCGGCGTAATGGCCGGCGAGGGGAGGGGCATGCCTTGCTGGAAAACGAAAATTTTATTTCATTCGCTTTGTTCAGCTTCTTCCCCATCTCTACCATAATATTTTCTTTGTTTGTCGAGATTTTCTCCCCACTTTTCTGTCTGGACTGCGGCTTCAAAGTTTTTCTTTGTGTGTCGTTTCGTTTTCTCCTTGGCACGTGCCCTATAATCCTACATACGGAGATATGCCCCCCTCCCCTCTTTCACTCTTTCTCTCTACTCTCTCGTCACAGAAGATAGTAACTAAGAGTTAGGGCCGCCGAAACGTCACTACTACCTATATATTCCATGGCAATCGTTTATTCGACTACCGGACAACCAAAATTTTCTTCTTACCTTTAACCTCAATTAAGTACGCTCGTGTTATATTAATCTCTGTTGTATGCGCAAAAGAGTATTTATGATAACCGACTATCGACAGATTTATTTCTTAATTGCGACATTATCCTTTTTGTCGTGATAATAGAAAATGTAAAATATTCTTAAGTCATCATCGAGTGTTGTCAAAAGTATGTCGTGTTATATAATATTCTCTAATTAGCTATAGCTTTCGTCGTAAATTAATTTTCAGTTTGATTTGGCTATTGCTTCTCATGTGCGGCATCGAAGTATCTCGAGAGTACTGCTAATTTGATACAATTTCGTTTTAACGCCGATTGAATTACTTTCTTCAATTGCAATTACGCAGCACAACAGGAGACCATAAAACTTAATGAAATTGCTGAAGTATAAGAAAATGGAAGCTGCTCTTGCACTCTGAATAATCCACATTCAATGAATTAAATCTAAGCTACCGAACATGAATCTCTCGCTTGATAACGAAATCCCACGGAAGATGCGTCATAATGATTACGGAAAAGATATGCATTCAAGCGCAATTTTCTTTTTTCCTTATTCATTCGAATACCTGCTGCGCTCTCTTTGTGTTCCAGAGTTTCGTAATCGCTTATAGGAATTGAATATCCAAAAACTATTCTCGCTTCGGAAAGATGATCAGGTTCTTTTCTTCTTCATTTAACTGATTATAAAACTTGCAATTTGTTTTTACATAATAGGAAACAATTTATAACGCGTATTGCCTAATCTCGGTGTGAGCGGAAACCTAAATATAGTATTATAATTAATACGCTCTTCGTTAATAATATCAACTGCATGAATTAAAATCTCTATTTTCGTAATTATTGCGTTGAAATATAGGGAAAGCTTAGACAAATTTTTTCTTGTCACGGCTCATCGCACATGAAGATAGTCGAGATGAATAAAGAGCGCTATATTTAGATGATTTTGCGCCTTTTTCGCGTAGACAAACGACGACAACGATGTCATGGCTCGTCGCCAGATCCAGCAGACGAGTACAAAAGGGCTAACGTAAAAACCCATGGATATTCTCGATGGGCACAGCTTCTTGCTCATGCTACGATATTTTCTTCCTTATTCGGCTCTTGTCTTCCGGTGCCGCTCACTTCCGCTTCCTTTTACGCCAATTTCGTAATTCGCGCCTTCTTTTTTACTTTTTTACTCATCTTCACCCCCTTAAGTTTTTTCACCGCCATTGACATTTGTATTTCCATGCGTTTCCGGTAGTGCCGTTAAGGAAGTAGCCCCTCGTTCTCTCTCTCTCTCTCTCTCTCTCTCTCTCTCTCTCTCAAAATAGTTGAGGGGGGAGGAGAAGTAAATAGATTCATGAATAGCTGGCGATAGAACGACGAGAAATGATATGTTCTATGCTCAAAATAACAAATAAATAAGGAGAGCGGGGAAAAGCGGCGTTCTTATAATGGAGGCTCGGCTGAGGAGCGTCGCGGGAAATATCGGTCGATCCTCAGAAATGCGTGTGTAATTTAAAATAGACACAAACATTGATGCAAAGAAAGAAGCGAAGCAGAGTCTTGGTCATTCCAGTGGCGCACACCCATCTACAATACACCCACCAACAATAAAATCTACGCATGACTCATCCATTTGACACATCCTTGGCTTTCTCTCGCCGCGTTGCAGTGTAATCCGATATCCCCTAGTAAGCGCATGAAGGAACTACTAAATAAAGCTTATGCCTTTAATAGCGACGAAGGCGCCACGCGTAACCCGGTAGATCCTCCTCTTCTTTTTATTTTGTCTATTCTTCGCCTTCTTGTGCGAATTCGTTGCAAGCTTCAGCGGCACGGAGGCCAAGCAAGAAGAGACTGTGACAGCGGGGCGCGACGACGAGGTTGCCGCGGACAGAAGCATGACGGGGAAAGGGGGGTTGGGTGGGGCGGAGGGCGAAAAGGAGAGGGAGAGAGTTGCGCGACCCTAACTAAATCAACTCGTAAAGCGCCCGTAGTGTGCGCGAACGATCGAAGAGAGCTAAAGACCAAAACGGGGAGGGGAAACTTGCAAGAGGTTACGCTAAGTTTTCGTCGAATCCCTTGGCTGGCTTCGCCAACTGTGAGATAACGCAAAGTAAACGCACGCCTGCGCATCGGAAAAATATATTAGCGCCGGGAATAACACACCCTATTTTCCCAAATTTTCCGACCCTTCCTCTAATTGCGAATCGCGCTCTTCCTTTTGCTTGCCTTCCCATCTATCAAGATTTCCGCCAATACATCACTAACGAAGCTACGAAAGTCTTCGAATCCATTCTGTCGTCCGATAAAACGTTACCAAATGTCAAACGACCTCTTTCACACATGCAGGTATGGTATACCAATGGAAAATACCAATAAATATATCCGCGCGTTCACCCTTTGAAGCGGGCTTTATTAGCTCCCAATGACACTACCCAACATCTTCGAAAATTTACTTCGATTTTACATCGTTTATTCGGGAACGCTATAACTACAATTACCACTATCAGCACTACCATACCACCATAACCACTACTACAACTACCGACACAGCCGTCGAAACAATGATTCCCAAAGCTACGGTCGTCTCGCCCTACGTCCCAAAGATGTCATTATTTGTCGCTAGAGTAATCATCTCAAGTAATCGAGACTCAAATATTTGCCTTTCTTTGATGTTCTAGAGGAGGAGATCGATGTGGTTTCTTATGAGAAGCCGAGTCGAGCTACGAGCTCCACCGCAACGTCGTCCTTACCGACTTATCCCAGTCCAGCGGAGCAACAACACTTTCAGCTCACTGTCAATACGGCCTTCAAGGACCGACACCACGGCAGCAGCGGTGCCACGAGCGCCACAAGCGCCCCGACGACGACGGCACCCCGACCTCGGGGCCGTCCACCGACAAACGGTAGCGCCGCATCCAGGAAGCGAGCGAGCCAAGCGGCCGCAGCGGCTGCCGCCGCCGCCGCCGTCGCCGCCTCCATCGAGACAGAATCGCCGAAGCCGGCGAAGCGACCGAGGCAGCATCGGACCTACCAGCGACGCGCTACACCCCAGAAGAACGCCAATAAGTCGAACACGAGCTCGCCCCAGTCGTCACCAGCGAAACTCAGCGCCGGGAACAGCAGCAGCCTCGCCTCCTCGTCGCGGAGCTCGTCCGACGACGAGCCCGACACCGAGAAGAGGAGCCTGCACAATAACATGGAGCGCCAGAGGCGGATAGAACTGCGAAACGCCTTCGAGGAGCTGAGGATCCTTGTGCCGGAGGTCGAGGCCAAGGAGAAGGCGCCGAAAGTGGCAATACTGAGGCAGGCCGCGGCCTTCTGTGACCGACTCACCGACATAGAACAGCTAAACCTGGCCAAGGTCATCGAGCTGAAGAAGAAGCAGGAGCGACTGAGGGCGCAGCTCAGTCAACTCCGACGGAGTCTCGCCTTGCAGCGCTGATAGCGGCCCCCGGGTAAGGGAGGGGCGGCGGCCATAGCCGGTCGCCTGACCCGATTAAAACCTGTTGAGCCACGTATCCCGGACGAGTCGAGGACACGACGAGGGCAAGGAGGGACACGCGGCTGGACCGCTCGCGAGCGCGCATCTACCCCTGGGCGGACACGGCTTTGACATTCCATTGCCGGTAGGGGGATGATGAGACGGTGGCGATGATGATGATGATGATGATGATACGTTAACGGGAGAGCGACAGAGGGTGAGAGAGGGAGTGTAGTATATATATAATCCATGTTTTTACGATCCTCGTGTTCGACTCGTGAGATTTTACAGCTGTTGCCACGGCGTCCTTCAATCTTCTCTTCTCTTGAGCCTTGATTTTTTTTCTATTATAATAATTATTTTTTTTAATTTTTTTTTTTTTTTAATTATTTTATTACACACACGCACGCACACGCACATACATATATATAATATGTATGTATGTATTATATGCATGTATGTATGTATTGTATGTACATATATAATATTTATTTGAATGTTGCCGAGGCGGCTTATATACGCGCGCACAGGCAAATGCATAAGACATACAGTACACATTAGGAAGAGCGCGCGCGTGCGCGCGCACTAGAAACACTAAACGGTCCACTCGTTGTAGCTCGCCCGGCGACTCGCGGTTAGTTGGCAAGGGCGGGAAAGTAACTTCATGTGCATCGGAAAATCATGCAGAAGAAAACAAGGGGATGGGGATGGACGGGTGAAGGTAGATAGGCGACGCGTCGATGTACTCGAACGCCGTGCTTTGCCTTAGCGCACGTTCCTGAGCTTCTCACATTCGCGCGAAGTAAGGATTTTGCCCGCGGGAGGGAATGCCCTAGCTACGGCACACTTGCGTAGAGAGAAAAAGCGATACGTAGATGTTACTAAAGGGCATAGTCATAGCTATAGCCTGAGACGGATTGTCAATGTTATCAAGTAACAGTTGTAAGGATGATTTAAGAATTAAATTAAAATGGAAAAAAAGAAAATAAAAAAGATAAGGGTTGTGTTTTCGTCAGGTTATTGAATAAGAAGACAATTAGGGAAA